TCCAGGCTGGTATATCACCCCACCTTTCTCATCTGAGGGTGTGACCTTTCCGTTAGTAGACCAGAACATGGTCCCTGGTTGCCACTAGACAGCTAAGAAGTCCTTCCATAATCAGCCGTCTGGCCCCCAGGGTTTGAATTCATTAGGGAGTAAGCACCCTGACCTCAGCCCACTATTTGAGCTAGCAGGAACTACTTACAGACCAGGGGCTTACGCTTTCATTTTCCCTACTCATACTTTCCTTTAAAATTCACTTCTGCTGTTGTGTGCCTGCATGCTTAAAATTTTTTTTGCATTTTTTTTATTGCTGTAAATGACGGGAACTGCCCAAGTGGCCCAGCCACACCGTTTGTGCAGCCCCACCTGTGTGAGAGCCTGTGCCACCTGATCATTTACAAACAGTAGACAATACTAGCCCCTCAGCTGATGATTTGCTCTGTAAACCTACATCCAACTCATGTTTTTTAAAGAAGAAAACCAAGGCACATTTTAGTGTTTGAGTAAAAGGTGATATGAAAAAAAATTCAGAGATTAAGGTGACGTACCAGCCCTAGTGTGAAGCGGATATTTTGGGGGCAGCTTTACCCGCTCAAAGATCTTTCTTGGATCATAACCTCGCATGTATCAAAACTGGCAATTATCATTCCAGTAGTTGGCAGGTTTCTTTTATCCACTTGACTTACCTAGGAGTAGTTATTGCAGTGAAGTTTAGCCAGAGCACCACCTAGTGTTGAGTGAGACATGAGCGTTCATCTTTAGGTACATTTAAGACCAGGACTGAGGAAAGCAAGGAGTTGCTGGTTTCTATACTACAAAATTTAACCTATTGATGTAGTTCCAGGGTCACTTAAGATCATGCAATCTTTTACTTTCCATTAAAAAAAAGGATGTATTTATATAAAACCTACTAACATTCTAATGGAATATTAGAAAAATAAGTCAGAAGTAATCTCCCCATCTCATCCTTTTCTGATTTCATTTCCCTCCCTCATCGCGATGGGGTTGATGGCATTGGATGCTAGGCCTTGGTAGTACTGCCCTGCCCGCGAGTTTCTGAGACTAATCCTTAACAGTAGAAAGGCCCCTCTCTTTCCCAGGGAGTGGGTGGTGGTTTCAAACTGCTGACCTTGCAGTTAGTAGCCCAATGTATAACCACTACTGACACCAGAGGTCTTAGTCAATTTAATTTATTATGTTATGAAAATGTTTCTGCCCCAGCCCCCACAGGCCAATGAAATATATTGCCACAGGCTAAGAATCCCTGCAAGCTACTAGTTTTCTGAAAACATATCAGCTATTTTAGTAACAATTTAAGATCCTATTCACTTTGAAAGATTTCATCTCAAGAATTTGAGACAATGTTACAGTATGGGGAATTTTTATTTTCTCATTGACCATAGAATTTCTAGTTAATATATGCATCTGTATTCTGTAAAAATACCAGAAAGTTCTACTCAAAAGTAAATTTTATTGGATAACGTATAACCATACTTTAAAGTTTTCCACTAAAGTCTAGTTTCCTCCCCACCCCACTTCTCTCAAAAATGAGGAATAGGGCAATTGCATTTAAAGATTGAACTGGAATTAAAAATCTTTTTTCCTTCAATATTACAGGTAATCCCTCAGCTAAACTGCAATGTAAACCCCTTAATTATGAACCAATAATCCCTAAAACCTATTGCATTAAACAAAGTATAACAATGATTTGTCATAAAAGGCACTAATTTATATCAAAACATTATTGCTGTATTGTGTGAAAGATGGTTTTGTGTATCTAGAGCCATTTCTTCCGTGTTTATTATGCACAGAAAGGCCCACTATATACCAAGATAAACATCTGACTTAGTAATAGAGTTCCAACTTACATACAAATTCAACTTAAAGGCAGGCTTGGGAACCAAACTAGTTTAAACCAGGGACTGCCTGTAACTCAGATGTGTGTGTGTGTGTAACAAGGGACTGCCTGTAACTCAGATGTGTGTGTGTGTGTGTGTGTAACAAGGGACTGCCTGTAACTCAGATGTGTGTGTGTGTGTAACAAGGGACTGCCTGTAACTCAGATGTGTGTGTGTGTGTGTAACAAGGGACTGCCTGTAACTCAGATGTGTGTGTGTAACAGTTTTTAGTAATACCTTGCATACTTTTTACATGAAATCTGATTCCAAATTTGACATTTCAGTGTTCTTTCCAGCTATTAATTCCTAGAAACTGAAACCAGTTCCCGAGTTTACTGCCTAAGTATTTCTCAGTCCCTTTTCTCTCCATGCTCGTCATCCAATCTCTACTGCCCACACAAAAACCCATCTGAACATATATAAGGGGTACCCCAAACAAGTGCGCAGGGCACAGAGCAGCTTTTGTAGTACGCATTTTCCCCACTAGGTGAGCATCGAGCAACTGAGTGCACCCAGCGGCATGGCCTGGAAAGTTCTCTCTGGTCATAGTGAATTTTTTTCATAAAAGCCGTTTCGCTCAAACTTCATTGTCATGGATGATTTAAGAGAACAGCATGCAGCTGTGAAATTTTGTTTCCTGTTCGGGGGCAAAAATACAGAAACTCATGATGTTGAACACAACTTTCAAGGACAGCACTATGGGGGGGAAAAAACAAGTGTTTATGAGTGGTTTTCTCATTTCAAAAAAGGTGAAATGTCGATTGACCAAAAAACCCATCAAGTGTATGAGTGGTTGTCGTTTCAAAAAAAGTGAGATGTCAGTTGACAAACCTTGTTCTGGACGCCCCTGAACTTCCCAGATGAAAATGTCAACTCTGTAGCGCATTTGGAGTTTGTCCCACCTGTCAAACTGTTAATCAAGCTTTCTATTTAGAGATTCTGAAAAGATTTGAAAAGTGTGCAAAAAAAAAAGGCCTATTTGTGGCAGATGGGACATGACAATACACCTTACACAGCCATCCGTGTGCCAATTTTTGGCAAAAAATGGCTGCCTCTCTTGCCCTAGGTACCTGACCCTGCTCCACGTGACTTCTTTGTTTCTGAGAATGAAGAGGTACATTAAAGGACAGCAGTTTGACAATGTAGAAGAGGTGAATAGCTAAACAGTGAGGGAGCAAATGAGAATGAAAAATGTTTCCAAAAAATGGAATAGCAGATTTGACAAATATATTAAGTGCAAAGGAGTGTACTTTGAAGGTGCTAGGGTTGTTTTGTAAAAAAAAAAAATTTAGATACAGATCTTTAAAAAAACAAAACTCCCCCTATGAACATGTTGACAGGTTTAAAAACCTGTCCAAGCCCCACTACACCACCTGTACTTGAATGAACAGATGGCTGTAGTCAACACTACAAACTGGATCTAGACATGGCTCCTGCCCTCTCAATTCTACTTTGTTAAATTTGTCCTCTTGCAGGCTTCTTTCTTCTGCCCTTCTACTCCTTGGGCACTTGGGAGTTTATATTTCCCCCAGCAGAATTTGCTAATCTATCTCCATCCTTTTTCTGGTGTTACTCCTTGGTAACAGTCTACGTACTCTACTCACCCTCAGACTACTCCCCCACAGCCCTGGGCTATGCCAAATGTTCTTCTTTACACAGCACAGTATGACCAGGGTAGCATAGCAATCACCAAACTACATTGAAATGAGTCTGCTTTTGTTCTTCCCAATTAGGTGAAGTCTCTTTAGGACATGATTCTCTTCAGAACCGAGAACTTATCATTTTGGTCAGTTATGTGCTCAAAAACAATTTAATTGCACGTAATTTGTTGAACTGAATTTGAGATCATGAAAATAATCCTTTCATAAAAGTATAACATTTTATTCAACATAATATAGAGTACCCATATATCTATATTTATTAAATACTATTTTAAAACATAATATTTAAGAAATACCAAGAGTTGTGAACAGCCGACCAAGCAGACTAAAATTTGAAAGGGACAAGAGTGTTGGTAAGAATGTGTAATAGCTGGACTCTCCGTTCCACTCTCACTCACTGCTGGTAAGAGTGTAAAGTGGCAGTATCTACTAAAGTTAAATGTAAACATATCCAGTGGCTCAGCAGTTCCACTCCTGTGTAGATCGCCAACAGAGATAAATGTTGGTAACCAAGCAACAGTGCAAGACTGTGGACTTAATAGTATTATTCTTAATAGCCCCAAACTGAGCACTTGAATATTCATTATTATCATAAATTCATATAAAGACTACAGAGCAATGAAAAAATGGACTCTTGCTAATATACAAAGATAATTTATAAAGTTTAACTGGAAATGTTCTGTTACCTGGGCCGTAGTTATGCTGGCGAACACTATGTAAAAACCTGCCAAATTATATACTTGAGAGATCTGTGTAATTTACAGTACTGAAACAAAGGAGAAACCTGTAAACTAAGATCTTGGAAATATGTATGTCAACATACTAGTACAGCCATGACACAAAAGTTAAATTGATAAAAAGTAAGCTTACAGTATGAATAGATGAGAACATTTTTTAAAAAGTATGGAAAGTCATAAATAGTACTCCCTTGCTTATAACGGTTTCTAGTTTAATATTTTTTCAAGTATTTTCCTACTGCTATATAAAAACTAGGCAACTTTCTTATATTATCAGTTACTTTTGAGTACTGAGTTTTAACCATCCAACTTGCTAAATTTTGAGACAACAGGCCAATTAATCTAAGATCTGGCTTACAAAATTGTTAGAAATATTTGAAAAGTAAGTTGCTTGTTTTATACACTCCTAAACTACCTAACTTAAAATGTGATGTCACGTTTCCAGTCAAGGTGAAAAAAATATTTAAGATATAGGAAATATATGTATTAAGATTTTGCACACACAAAAAAAACTTTTTAAACATACTTGAGTAGGCTAAAACTAATAGATTGTGTTTTGGTCCTTATGTCTGACACTGAAAATAAACCTCAGTCTGGGAATGAATTTTAGTAACACAAAAAGAAATACTCAATTTAGCCCAAAACTCCTGACAGAATTCTTTAAAATGATATTTTAAGGTGAGTGTACAAATAAAAAGATTGACAGATTAACAAAATATGTAAGAATTTTAATATGTATACATATAAAACTATGCACTATTACATAAAATGATTGTATACCTTAAGGCATTTTTAAATACACACTTAGACATATATAAAATTGGAACTTTAATCTTGTTGCATTCTAACCTAGAAATCGTAATAACCAGAACTGCCTGACACAAGCGAAGTATTCAGGTGGTATGAGAGATCCACGCATTTTTCAAGGGTGCTTTCAGCTTTCGATTCTAATGCTCTCACCACTTTCGAGGCAGCAGTCCAAGTGCTCATTAATTTTAGACTCCAAAACTTCTTTCTGACAAACCGGACAGTGAACCATCTTGTTCTGACCAGATGAACTGCTAGAATTCTGAGCTGAAGTTGTAGAATGAGAATTACCCTTTGAATCATTTCCACCTTGTATTTGTTCTTTCTTAATAAAAAACCTATCAAAAACAGTCCTGTCTTCTAGCCTAGGCCGTTTATTTGGGAATTTATCATCAGACCCATCATCGTTCTGGGATGCAGTAAGAGATGTCGATTCCATTACTTTTAAAGGATTTCTTGAAGATACCTTAGGAGATGTAGCCCTTCTCTGAGAACCAGAAGAAAATGAGTTTTTATAGATGTTACCAACAGGTAAGCTTTTTGTTGGAGATCCATTCACACTTCTGAAAGCCTTTTGGTTGGCAACTGATACTCTAGGAAAATAGTTGCTTAAAACATTTTGATGATGATTATTAAGAACAGTGGGAACTAAAGGTTTTTTACTTAAACTATTTTGTTCAAATTTCGCCTCAATTTTAGAATTCTGTCTTAGAGCATTTACTGAGGAGTCTTGACTCAAAAGATCTTGTGTTTTATTAATGGCATGTGAGGTGATGAACTTCCTAGGTGAAAGTGAACTGCTTGTTTCTCCTAGAACATATCCTTTCCCAGTAAAAGGAATCAGTAACTGTGTCTCTCCCCTGCTTGGTTTATCTGAAAAATAAGAAAATAAGATTTTTCCTTGATTAAAATTAATGAAGAAAAATTTTCCTATTTAATACAAAGTATGAAACATAATGATATATAAACTACAGAAGAAATGTCACAATTCATTCCAAAATATGAGGGTAAGTCAAAAAGTAATGCTACAAAACCATAGAAACTTTTAGTAAACAAAAATACCAAAATGTGATGGTATTGTTTCTTGCCATATCCCTAGTGTTACCATCTTTATAACCCCCACCTGGATAATTCTGCAGACCATAATAATAAATTTGGCATCTTCACTGTATTCCTTTTCAATGTTCTTTGAATTTGGGAAAAAAGAAGCCTGAAGGAACAAGACTTGGTCTATACAGTGGATGAGGCAAGGTTTCCCAGGAAAACTCTTGTAGGATAGTCCTTACTATACCCTTGAAATCTGAGCAGGCTCATTATCATGATGCGAAATATACCCCAGACCAACTGTCATGGTCTTTTCCTCATTAGTGCAGTTTTTAATTTTCTTCTTCAAACTTCTAATAAACTCAATCATAGTCTCATGTCTTCTAAGAAAATCTATTATCCCTTGGGAATCCTAAAATAAAAAACTGTCACTGTGATAGTTATATAATCGTTTTTCAATTTGAGAGAATTAAGAGTGAAGGGGTGGAGTCTAGCCTGTCAACCGGAGTCTAGCTTGTCAATCAAGTCACAGCCAATGAGGTTTCTGTGTGGGCATGTTCTCCTGAGGATGGGAACTCTGGTATTCATTCCTCTTTGGAGGGGGAGACTCTCTCTGCTTAGTCCCTGCCTTCTCATTGACAAGCCACATGAAGACAGGCTAATGGCAGCCAGAGCCTCAGAGCTGGAGAAGCCATGTGAAGATCCCTGCCAGTGTTGAGATTCGTACACCACTGGATCCACAAGACTTCTCACCCACTGGCCTGTGATCTTCCTGCATTTGGCATTATTGCATGTGTTTCCTGAGTCTGAAGAGGATTTTATAGATTGGTATTGGACAAAAGGGGTAATATCGGACTTATGGACTTGATCTATACTGGGCTGGGATGCTTTCTTAATGCACAATGACTCTGGTATTGGACAAAAGGGGTAATATCGGACTTATGGACTTGATCTATACTGGGCTGGGATGCTTTCTTAATGCACAATGACTCGTTATATAAAGCTCTTTCCTATACACACAAGTCTCTATGAATTTGTTTTTCTAGTCTACCCAGACTAACACAGTCACCATAAGTTTTCTGAACTGATCTCTGCCTTGAATTAACTGGCCCAACAGATACTGTAGAAATTACTTGTTTTGACTTGACCCTGATTTCTCTAGATTGTATTGATAAATGTAAGGCTTGTCCCCAGTTCTAATTCATTCCATAAAACCATCTTCATTGGCTTCAATTTTGCTTAAAAGGTTGATGGAAAGATGAACTCTCCAAGATAGCTGATCTTCACACAATGCTTTTGGTACTCATTCAAATGAAAGCTTGCTGAGGTCAAGAGGTTTCTTAAAATTGAAAATGTCAAACATGTGAGATCCCAATTTCAGAAGCTAACAATGGCAATTGTATGGGCTTCCACTAGTTTCTGAACTTCACCCAGTCTCTTCATTCATTAGGGTTGATGCTCTTCCCTTTCTTGGTTCATCTTTTAGGTCTTCTCAACCTCCTTTAAAACACCTGATTCATCTAAAAAGTATCTGAAGTGGACAGAATCCCTGTAGACTCATTACAAAACTTCAATGATTTGGAAAGATGTCCACTTGATTTTTGTGAAAGCTTATTATCCCCGACCTCGTCTTTTTCGCCAAGGCATTAAAAATAGCTTTTAAAAGAAAGCACTACAGTGAGATTAGAAGTATTACTGAGAAAACTTGGATGGAGCCACCTACTGATCACAAAACACGTTTAAGTATGTTTTGTTTGGAATAAACCCTTGGGTATAGGAATTGTAAGCCTCTTTTTGACTTACTCTCATACACATTACCATTAAAAAGCTTGCTGTTAAAATAAGACATACATGTATAAAACCAGCAAAGCTAACGTATAATTTGGAGCTATTGTAATGTGAATACCTTAAAAGCTTCAGAAGCTAAAATTATCAATATTAAAATAAATGAAAGATTCTGTATAACACTATTGCTTATAATTATTTCTTAGGTGAAGAAATGGAACATTCCAAGAAGCTCCTTTCGTGTGATTCATCCACTCACACATATGCGGGGGTACCCAAAAAAACACAATTTTTTTCAAAGCTATGTATTTACATCTTTTTTTTTTACATAACAACCTTATCACCTTCAAAGCACTCTCCATTACACTTAAAACTTGCCAAATCTGCAGTTCCATTCTTGGAAACATTTTTCAAATTCATCTGTTCGGACGGCTGACAGCACCTACCTCATTTTTTCTTCACCTCTTCTAAGTTGCCCTATCGCTGTCGTTTCTTATTAGTGGAAACCAAAAAAATGTCTCACGGAGCAAGGTGAGATGAGTCAGGTGCGTGGGGCAAGAGAGGCATGCTGTTTTTTGCCCCAAAATTGGCACATTGAGATGGTTGTATGAGCAGGTGCATTGTGGTGATGGCACAACCTGTCTGCCACAAATCAGGCCTTTTTTGTTGCACACTGTTACCCAATCTTTTCCGAACCTCTAAGTAGAAAGCTTGATTAACAGTCTGACCTGGTGGAACAAACTCCAAATGCACTATCCCCTCACATCAAATAAAAAACAAATGAGAATCATCTTGATTTTTTATTTCATTTGCGCTTTTGGGGGGCGAGGTAAATCATTACCTCCATCTTCCATTGGCTTGACTGATGTTTGCACCGTGTCTCGTCACTAGCAATGACCTTGGGGGAAAAAGGCTGGGTTGCTTCAGATCTGCTCTTTCAAAGCACACCTTTCCACTCAACACTCTTTTTGCTGGTCAGTCAAATTGCTGAGGCACAAATTTCACAGCGGCCCTCTCATTCCCAAATATTCCCGTTAAAATTCCCTGAACCAAACTCTAAGTCCGATAACTTCCCCATCTCTTCAATGGTCCATCATAAGTCTTCGACCATAAGTGCACGAATTTTGTCAACATTTTCATCTATTCATAAAGTTGATGGACATCTAGAACGAGGTTTGTCATCAATCAACATTTCACCTTTTTAAAAAAAATGCATAAGCAATGCATTCACACAATTCTTGGAAAAACCTTTAAAATTAATCCTTAATTTTCTTATAAAGTTGACCTCAAAGGTTATTATTATTATTAAATCATTTTATTGGGGGGGGGGCTCTTACATGTAAGAGTGCATATATCCATTATATTAAGTGGATATGTACAAATATTGCATCATCAACAATTTCAAAACATCTTTCTTCTTGAGGCCCTTGACATCAGTTCCACGTTTTCCCCTCCCTCTCCTGCCGTCACCCTTGTGAAGCCTTAATATATACGTAATATGTTACATATTGTTATTCATATGTATCTTACACAGCCCCTTCTATCCTTCACCTCCAAACCTGGTATTCATTCCCCTCGAGGGACCTTATTCCACCATCACTGCTATCACTCCCCCTGCCTCCCACTTCCCCTACCTTCCTAAAGTCAGTACTCCTGTTGCTGTTTCTGAAAGGTTTGTCTATCCTTACTTCTGTAAATTGAAAGCTCTCGTCTATACCGATGCATGTATGCCGTACTAGCTGGATTTGCGAGGTAGGACTGAGATCATAATAGAGGGAGGAAGGATTAAGGACTTAGTAAAGCTATACTGCCCCCTGGAGTTATCTTCTCTTCTGTGTGGCCCGCCCCTCTATGCTGGAATGTCCAATTAGCCCCAGATGATCTCTGGGTCACTTCCTCGAGCCTTTTCCTTCACCTCGATAAAGTTGTTTATTTTTGAACTTCTGATGCCTGTTTCCATCGACACCTGATCATATAGGCTGGGACAGTTCCCCTTTTTTGAAATGAGAAAATCACTTATACACTTGAGTTTTTCCCATAGCACTGTCCTTATAAGCTGTGTTCAACAACAAAACAGTTTCTGCTGCATTTTTCCTGAGCGTGGAAACAAAATTTCACAACTGCACGCTGTTCTCTTAAATCAGCCATCACACAAAAAACGAGGTTTAAGTGAAACTGCTTTTACCAAAAAATTCACTGTGACCAGAGTGAACCTTGCCAGGTAATGCTACTGGGTGCACTAACTCAGAACGAGTTGCTAGATGCTCACCTAGTGGGAAAAATGGGTGCTATGAAAGCTCCACTTAGCGGAGCTTTTTTCAGTTTTTAGGGGGGTATCTTCTCGTATGTAAGCACTTAATTACCAAGTATAAAACCACACTTTGTGTTGACTACTCAAGTGTACATCCCTACCCACAATAGGTTAGTCTTGCACATTAAAAAAACCTATATATGAAAAACATTAATACCATTAACAAATATGAAACTAAGGACTAAATATTAAACAAATGGACTTTCCCCAAAGCAGGTAATATTTTACTCACAGATCTATATTATAGTTGCCTACTATGAGTGAAGAACATTCTTCGGAAGTCAGAGCTCGCATATTGAGAATATAAAGGATATTTTTAAAATCTCTTATATTGAGATAGAAATCTTACCAGGCCAAAGACCAATAGCAAAGTAAATTTTACTGCTCTGTGTCCTTAAGTTTACTCCCAGAAGGGAAAAATCTGCCACCATATTCTTATCTTTTCTCCTACTCACAAAATAAACTCTCTTCTGTCATAAATTCTGCTATAGCTTCTGAACTCAGTTATCATTTCAAATCTGGGAAATATAGGTTATGTTCCTAGGTTCTATCACAGTAAATGTACAACTTCCTAAGGGAAGAAGTATCAACTTCGCCACCTTGATACCTCCCAAAAAAGGAACTAATTCTGAACTTCACAAGGAAGATTGTGAAATACTGACAAAGATATGTCATAATTTTCCCTTTCTTTTTGGAGTGAAATCACATACATCAACTGCAGAAGCCACTCGGACAGATTCCAATCGATAGGTAGGGGCAGTTAGGACTTACATTCTAGAGTTATTTCACTACTGCTTTTATTGTTCCAATCTTCATGTATGCTGTCTCCGCATAAGCAAGTGAAAATCAAGATGGAGCGACCTTAAATATTATCAAAAGAAATCCTTTCTACCTTTCACATTTTTACATAAAGTATATTTTTCTATCGTTGTAGACAATAGGATTTTCTAAGTCTACCCTTGAAAACTTTAACATGAAAATAATCCATAATTACCTTAATACTAGTTCTCTAACACAACTACTGTCTTGACATTGCAGCAATGGCCATGGGAAAGTTAGAATACAAAACAAAGTACCTTTACTGTTGGCTGCTGATACTAGGTGCTCTTCTGGTTTTATCTTTCCTTTGCCTTTCTTTGAGTAGTTCTCTGGCTCCTTGATTTTTATGTAAGTGCCTCCACAGGTACTCTGGTGCTCAGCCCACCAGTAGTCATGAGCAGAGGGGGCTCTGTTAACAGAACGTTTCACATAGCCATAATACGGCTCTCTGTACTGACAGGGTCCATTGCAGCGCCACCAATGTCGACGATACTCATCGACCTCATCGTGAAAAGTATGATACACCTGAGTTGTGAGAAATTTTAGCGTTCAGGAAGCATATTAACAATTGAAGAAAATGCTTCAAACAGGTCTCCCCCTACCCCCCTTTAAAAAACTATGTTGTTTTTCAGAACTTTCTAGAAAATTAAATTTTGGGAAAGATGGCAACTATATTTAGCTTCTGGTTCAATGGTTCACTTTAATGAAAAAACAGCATTTAATTCAATCCTTCCTAAATTGTTTAAAGGCAGGGATTAGAAGACAAAAAATTTAAAGTAAAAACTCTATTATGAATACTAAAAGCTTCAGAAGTGAAAAAAACAAGATATATGCGAGGTTTTCTCTAACACTTTCTAATAGAAAATTTTCTAATAAGTAACAATATCAAAATAACTAAATAAACTATTTCCTTCCTATAAATGCTTCCTTGACCCTAGCAACAAAAAATGTCTTACCTTGAAGCCTCGTGGACAGAGGGCTTTTCTGGTCCACTGCATTCTCATAGCGCCTGTGCTTATTGCTCCCTTTAACAAGCCTATGGGCTAACAATTCACCTCTTTATAGGCGTGTTTCTATTACCAGACTGCAAAGCTCTCCTAGAGCCCAGTATTTGTATCTTTGTATTGCTAGTGCCTATTATTTGCTTATCAAGCTTCATTCCTTAAATATAAATTCTCTTTTCATTCTTTAAGCAGGATTCCTTTTCACCGTCTTACTTAGAAAACAAGCAGAAGACAGATTCCTGCACTCTCGATTTTGTTCAGGCTCTTCATTTAAAAATTTACTTACAAAAAACACCAAGAACTGGCTGGCTTGCTCCAATTCTTGTAACATGTAAAGCCTGATACTGGTAACTCTAACAATAAAGTAAGTAAAGTAAAATTGCTCTACAATGTGAAATTAGATACCCTGTGGAGTTCATTATAACAGGATGTAACCTGTAAAAATAAAAGTGTTCTTACTATAAAACTTCTCCCAAATAAAAAAGTACACAGACATCCAAGATATAAAATATACATCTTCTAACTGAACAAGAGGAAACACACCCCGGCTTTCAGGGTAAATTTTAGTGAAGAAGATACAAGTTTTTATACTAGCAACTGCTAATTCTCTTGCGAATCCATTTTAAGTATGATAGTGTTTGAATGTAAGCTACTTCCCGGATGTGAAAGTACTGCATCTAATAATTAAATGAGCTCTCTGGGTAATTAAAAGACATAGCTGGAAAAAACTGTACACAGAGGGGGGACATTTTTCATTTCCCATCACATTATCCCTTACTGCCTTTATTCAACCTGCAGAACTTTACCTATGTGAAAATTAATATCCTTTCAGTTCATTTCATTGCTTATTCAACTTGGCACAAAAAAGGTTGATAAGGGCCAACTTGTATTCAGAAATATAAAAGTAGAATAAAACATTACAAAAGGTTAACTATCTGCTAAGGAGATTCACAAGAGAAGATGTCATATCTCATCAGAAAGATGAAGTACATTTCCATGATGCTCACCTTCCCAACACTATCGCTGAAGACAAAGCAGGTGCATAAGCAAATGTGGTGAAGAGAGCTGATGGTGCCCAGCTGTCAAAAGATATAACGTCTGTGGTCTTAAAGGTTTGAAGATGAAGACGTGGCCATCTACCTGAGAAGCAACAAAGCCCACATGGAAGAAGCACACCAGCCTGTGTGATCATGAGGTGTCGAAGGGATCAGGTATCAGGCATCAAAAACAGAAAATCTTATCATTGTGAATGACGGGGAGAGCAGGGAGGGAGGAGGAAAAATGAGCTGATGATACCAAGGGCTCAAGTAGGAAGCAAATGTTTTGAGAATGATGAGGACAACAAATGTACAAATGTGCTTGACACCATGGATATATGTATGAATTGTGATAAGAGTTGTACGAGCCCCCGATAAACTGATTTTTTTAAAAAAAGGAAAGAAAGATTAAGTATAGTGTGACAGAAAACAGATTGACATATTTTAGGGAACGGGGTACATTTGGAAAGGCACAGAGGTGAAAAGTTCATTTAGAGACACACAGAACACAAGCAGGAGATTTCTGAGGGGTCAGAAAAAGGAATTAAATTCTTTTAAAATGATAACAAAACAAAAACATCCAACAATTAGTCCTCAAAATTTGCTAAAATGCTTTGTGTATTTTTGTCAAAGACAAAATAGGTAAGTATTGTTATTACTGCATATCACATGTGAATGAGAGAGTTAAAATCAGTCACATAATCAATAGTTTGGAGCCATGATTTGAACCCAAGCACACTGATTCTCACATGCTGTTTTAAACCTAAGGCTATGCTCTTCCAAAGCGAGATTTCTGTTGTGGAAGGATCAAGGATCAAGTTCAAGGATTGCAGCCTTCAGTGAAAATTACAACTCAATGTAAAGAAAACCAAAATCCTCACAACTGGACCAATAGATAACATCAGAGTAAATGCAGATAAACAGAGAAAAGATTGAAGTTATCAAGGGTGTTGTCTTCTTTGAACCTACAATCAATGACCACGGAAGCAGCAATCAAGATAAAAGACACATTGCATTAGGTAAATCTGCTGCACAAGACCTCTTTAGAATATTGAAAAGCAAGGATGTGGCTTTGAAGATTAAGATGCGCCTGACACAAGCCATGGCATTTTCAATTGCCTTATATGCATGTGAAAGTTGGACACTGAATAAAGAAGACAGAGGAAGAATCAAGGTATCTGAATTGTGGTGCAGGCAAAGAATATTGAAAGTACCATGGACTGCTAGATGGACAAACAAATCTGTCTTGGAAGATGTACCAGAATGCTCTGTACAGGCAAGGATAGCACATACTTTGGACACACTGTCAGGAGATATCGATTCCTGGAAAAGGACATTATGCTTGTTAAAGGAAAGGGGCATCAAACAAGAGGAAGGCTACTCAACAGTAGGTTCAAGCAGAGAAACAATTGTGAGGACAGCGCAGGATTGGGCAGTATTTCGTCCTGCTGTGCACTATGGGTCGGAACAAACTTGATGGCACCTAAGAACAATGAAATTTATCCTTAAGTCTAAGGTGAATGGAAATCAATGAACTCTAATAAAGGGACTAATAGAAAACAGTAGGAGAATTGAAGATGAGTTGAAAGAGACAATATTAATCCAAAAGATGTTTTGCAGGACTGTAAACAGAAAATAATAACCTAGGTAATGCAAGCAGAAAGATGAAAGAGCTTTGAGCTCCTGGCTCACCAAACCCGGAGGGCAATGTTTCTGATCAGAGCAGCAATGTACAGGGACGACCACAGGGCCAGCCTCACCACAGGACACAGCGTGCCTCACTGACCCATAGCACCATCGGGGACAACACTAGAGACACACAGTAGGAATTTTGCCCACCCTGAGCTCACTACGCTGAAGCCAGCCTCTGGGGGCATGCAGCAGAGCAGCAGGGGAAGCAGAGCAATGAAGCCCCAGGGATAGATGTGGGGCCAGGGCATGGCACCCCATCAGACCCAACTCGAAAGCACTCATGAAGGATAACAAATAGACCCTGAACTATTTATAGGTTTGTTGTTGTTGTTGTAGCTATTGTTTTACTTTCTATTGTTGCTTCGTTGTACTTACTCTTGTGATGGTACATAGCATGTCTACCTGGAAGGGATAGGCAGGATAAACAAGCCGGAAGAGAGAACAACGGAATGACAGTTCCGGGGGGACATGGGAGAAGGGGAGGCAGGGGAAGGAAATGGGTGTTAACAAACCCAGGGACAAGGGAAAAAATGTTCCAAAATCAGTGACAAGAAGGGTATCAAGAGGTCTGGCAGGGCTGGATCAAGGGCAATGTAACTCAGAGGAATTCCAAAAACCCAAATGAAGACTGAACATGATAGTGGGACAAGAGGAAAGTACAAAGAAATAGAAGAAAGAACTAGGAGGCAAAGGGTAGTCATAGAGATCTAAATACAGGCTTATACATATATAAATATATCTATATACGAGGGGGAAATAGATTTATGTACATATATTTATAGGTTTAGTATTAAGGAAACAAATAGACAGTGGGCCCCTGCTCAAGTACTCCCTCAATACACAACAAACACTTTTTTCTAACAATTCGGCAGTCTGAGATACTCACCCTCCTGGCACAATCGCTGAAGACAAAATGGGTGCATAAGCAAATGTGGTGAAGAAAGCTGATGGTGCCTGGCTGTCAGAAGATATAGAATCTGGGGTCCTATAGGCTGAAAGATAGACAAGGGGCTATCTAACTGAGAAACAACAAAGCCCACATGGAAGAAGCACACCAGCCTGTGAGATCACAAGGCGTCGAAGGGATCAGGAATCATGCATCAAAGACAAAAAAAAATAAAAAATCATCGCATTGTGAATGAGGGGGAGTGCGGAGTGGGGACCCAGGGCCCATCTGTGGGAATTTGGACATCCCCTTGCAGAAGGGCTGCAAGGAAGAGACGAGTCAGTCAGGGTGCAGTGTAGCAATGATGAAACATACAATTTTCCTCTAGTTCTTGAATGCTTCCTTCCCCCCACTATCATGATCCCAATTCTACCTTACAAATCCGGTTGGTCCAGAGGACATACATTGGCACAGATAGGAACTGGAAACACAGGGAATCCAGGAAGATGAACCCCTCAGGGCCAGTGGTGAGAGTGGAGATACCGGGAGGGTCGAGGAAAGGTGAGGGAGAAAGTGGGAACAGATTATAAGGCTCTCCATATAACCTCCTCTCTGGGGGACAGACAGTGGAGGGGTGGGTGAAGGGAGACATTGGATGCTGTAAGATACGACAAAATAATGATAATTTATAAATTATCAAGGGTTCATGGGGGAGAGGGCAGCAGGGAGGAAGGGGAAAATTGAGGGGCTGATACCAAGGGCTCAAGTAGAAAGCAAATGTTTTGAGAATTATGATGACAACATATGTACAAATGTGCTTGACACAATTGATGGATGTGTGGATTGTGATGAGTTGTGCGAGCCCCCAATAAAATGATTAAAACAAAAAGAAAGAGCTTTGAGCAAGGAGGTGGAAGCAGTTGATTGAGAGATTCTTGGCGTCTCTGGAGATTAAGAAAAATGATGATAAACATGGCGACCTAGTAGCTCACAAAGGATGGGCTTAACAGAGACTAAAGCTGAGGAGCCAGGGAGAGAGATATCCTATACTTCCAGAGCACAAGATTATCAGCATAAAAATATGTAGACACAAATTTATCAAAATAAAAGAATAGCAGCATCTATTGATTGCTCCACTTTGTCACTTGGTCCGAGCCAGTGGAGCTTGGATTCTCAACTCTTCTGACCAATTTTTCCTGATCCAGAAGCTTGCTAAGGTGGCTGACCCTCTGAGCTGCAAGGGACGTAGTTCTGTGGGACCAGCCTGGGGTGGATATAAGCACAAACAGGCTTGGCTCTTCCTCCAAGCCAAGGGAGCTCTAGCCTGATATCCTTGCAACACTAACTCCCCAATAATTAGATAGCACAGCCTACTGAGCCCTGTGGGGAGAACTCTACAGGGCAGCCTGGTACACCTGTAAATAGTGAATAAATAGACTAACTCTCCACACAAGCCTGGAGAGCTCCAGCACCACCGTGTAAAAATAATCACCCATCCCTGAGGTACAGCTCTACATGGGCCCCCCAGCAGCACAAAAGGCACAGCCATTCTACACAGGCTTTAAAACACTTTGAGTAACAAATAACACACACCTGTTCCGTTAGCATAGCACTACAAGTAGCAAGCCCAGTGAGTTTTTACAAAGCTAAAGCAGAGGGCTGGACTTGCTACAAAGACTAAAAGCCTCAGGGCCCAAAAGCTACTGCTCGCTCACATACTTAGGAGCACAAAAAAAAAAAACCACTGGAATTTTTTTCTTCAAAGCTATGTATTTACATTTTTCTACAAAACAACCTTATCACCTTCAAAGTACTCTATTATACTTAATACAATTGCCAAATCTGCAATTCCATTCTTGGAAACATTTTTCAAACTCATCTGTTTGGATGGCTGACAGCATCTCCCTGGCTTTTTTCTTCACCTCTTCTACATGGTCAGATCACTGTCCTCCCATGTCCTTCTGCATCGGCGGAAACAAAAAGTCGCATGGAGTGAGGGCAGGTAAGTGGGCCAAGAGAGGCATGCTATTATTTGCCAAAACAGGAGCTCTGAGATGGCTGTGTGAGCAGGTACATTGTTGTGGTGGTGGCAAAACCAGTCTCCTGTCTGCCACAAAGCAGGCCTTTTTTGTTGCACACTGTCACCCAATCTTTTCAGAACTTCTAAATGGAAAGCTCGATTAAGTCTGCCCTGGTGGAACAAACTCCAAATGCACAAGTCGACATCTTCGTCCGTTCAGGAAGCTGATGGACATCCAGAATGAGGTTTGTCATCAACTGACATTTCACCTTTTTTGAAATGAGAAAACCACTGTACACTTGAGTTTTTCCATAGTGCTGTCCTTGTAAACTGTGTTCAATATCACAACAGTTTCTGCAGCATTTTTCCCAAGCAGGAAACATAATTTCACAACTGCATGCTGTTCTCTTAAATCAGCCATCACAAAAAATAAGCTTAGAGCGAAACTGCTTTTATGAAAAAATTCACTGTGACCACAGAGAACCTTCCCAGGTGACATCACTGGGTGTAGTAACTCATAGTGAGGTAGTTGCTTGATGCTTGCCTAGCGAGAAAAATGCATGTGAACTATGAAAGCTCTGCCGAGTAGAGCTTTTTCCTGTTTTTTAGGGGGTACCGCCTTGTACCTTGTCATTCACCAGCTTTCCCATGACCCCAGACCCTGGTCAGCACCCTAAGCTGCTCAGATAAGCAACCTTCCCTCTGAGTAGGTTATTGCTTCATTCTTCCCTCCTAGCCACCTGAGTAGGTGGGCGATATAGACCTCACACACCCATCCCCATCTGGTCACCTCCATCATCATCTGAAAAGAGTGACTCCTGTCCCCTCTGACCTGATTCACCTATTTCTTTATGATAATTAACCTAAATCATAAGAACACAGGACTCTGGGCCATACCAGACACCAAAATGATTCCCCTGGCCTAAATCTCATTTCTACCCTGACATCTTAAAAGACCAAAAAGTGAATGATGAGGGCAATGAGTGTACAAATGTGCTTTACACAATGGATGTATGTATATTGTGATAAGAGTTGGATGAGCTCCTAGTAAAACGATAAAAAAAAAAAGACCAAACATTAGTAAAACAACATACTACCAGACACTGTTCCTAGCTGCTTAAAAGACCTCTGCTCCACCCAGTCCTGAGCCCCATTGCTAGGACACAGTCTAAACCCAGCTGTTATTCGGCTGGTATTGTTGTTCCTGCGTTCTATCATCCCCATACTCTCCCCCTCTTTAATACAAAGCTGTGCACTATTCTTATAATTTATCCTTAATCAGAACTTCTCCATCTTATGGTATACATAAAGGGAAAATTATTATTACTTTTTTTGCTTCCAATTTAATGTTTGTTTTCTACTTGCTCTACACATCAATCCAGAAGTTAGCACCACATCAAAGACAAGGCTCCTGGGCAATGCGTAAAGCCCAAACATCTATCAGCAGCTCTTCTGTTTCTTACTCTAGTTTTATTTTAAATCCTTTTGTCTCTTCCCCTTTCCTTCTTTAATTGATAATATCTAAACTTATGTCATAGCCCTTTTTACCTTTCTTGTCTTTCTTTTAATCTTTCTCTTTTCTTCTCATCCTCATAACCCTAAAGCTGACACTCTTAAAATTTTTCTTTTTTTTAATCAAATCCATTTTTAGGGAGTTAATATGGATTTTGTATCATTCCACAGTTTAATCACATCAAGCAGTGTTGTATAATTGCTACCACAATCAGGTTTCTCTTCAGATCGTATAAATCTTTCGCCTTTTTATCTATCAAATATCATTACTCACTCCTCCATCATTACACAACAAGCATTTTTTGGGTCTAATTTCCTTTCCTCTAACTTACCAATTAACACTAACCGATCCCTCTTTTGCTTCCTTTTTCCTTTCTTTGTCCCCCCCTCTAACACTTTCTCTTCCACTTTTTGATCATCATTCTCTGATGACCCTTACTCTAACACTCTCCCCCAGATACTTAATATAGTGCCTACCACCCCTCTACTGCACCACCTAGCAAAGTGAACTACGCCCACATAACTCTACCTCCTTAACACCCCTAACACCTACACCAAGATGTCAAGCAAACACACACACACGAGAAACAGACACAAATAGCTGATTATCAACCAGATCTAATGAAATGCCTGAAACTGAACAGGCTGTGGAATTACCAGAAAAATAATTTAAAAGAATGATGATTGCATTCATACAGCAGATGAGGAAGAATCTGAGGAAAAATAGTAAAGCTAGAAACCTCACTACATGCCTTACAAATAGTTGAAGTCAAACACTACAACAGAACTATACATTAAAGAACAGAGAAACAACGTTGAAGAGATGAAAACCAGCATCAGTGAGCTTCAAGACAAATATACAGACTCCAATTCAACAGAAGAACACACACAAATATGCACAGAGATCGAGAAAAGCTTCAGAGCAATGTGGCACAATCAAGAACAACGACCCATGTCTTACAGGGATTCCAGAAAAGGAAGAAAAAAAAACATCCACACAGAGAATAGTCCAAGAACCCCCCAAGAAAATTTTCCTCAATGCCTAAAGGATGAAAAGATAATTATTCAGAAAGCCAAAAGAACCCCAAGCAAGAGATCCCAAAGAGAAGACTCCTGGCATATCATAGTCAAGATGTCTAATATTAATGATATCAAGAAAATAATATTATCAAGGAAAAAATTCTAAGAGCAGCCAGGGAAAAAAGAATAATTACATACATCCGCAATTAGAATATCCTCAGGAGAAATCAAACAGGCAAGAAGACAATGGAGTGATGTACAGAGTACTGGAGGAAAGCTTTAGTTTTGTACCTAGCAAAAATATAATTCAAATATGATGGCAAAATAAAAGTATTCCAAGACAAGGAGAAATTAAAGGTAAACCAGGAACCTCAAATATGTTTCTAGCTCTGATACCATTCGACTGTGTGGTCCAGGGCAATTCAATTAAGCTTCTTTGGACCTCTAGCTCACTGTTGAAAATTTTCAGTTAATATTTACTTCTACCCAGTTCTCTACTTTAAATAAATGCTAGGATTTACTGAATAAATAAATATTATAAATATTGTGGCTTTACATACTGTTATGTTGGCTCCACTCAGGCGGTTAATGCGATGCATATGTTTACAAAACTCTGGACCATGCCCATCCCAATCTTTATCGTTATTAGTGACAAATAAATAGGCATGTATCATTTCATGGAGGAGAGTCTGAAACAGAAAACAAATTAATTTGGTATAGTACATATAGAAATAAATGTAGCCAGAGCATTTTCTTACTCTTCCTGGGACTATTAATGTTCTTTGAATCACAAGCTCCTTTCAGAAAACTGGTAGAATCATGTATCTTTCTAGAAAAATTAAAACTTTGCATATATAGTACCTTCAACTGTAGATATCAGGTTAAGAATTCCATTTCACAAAGGCCATTTAAACTATGAATCAAAACCCAGAAGAAAGGATTGGTGAATTCAACTACATAAACACACATTCTGCCTAGGGGGAAAAACAGAATACCATAAGTAAAATAAAGTACACGGGTAACTCCTATTACAGAGTTATAAACTCCTACATAAAGCTCCTGAAGTCAACAGAAAAATTAGCAGCCATCCATTTTTTAAACTATCATGGATAGTTCCTTTACATATAAATGACCCATAAAAAATGTTTGACTTCACTTATAAAGAGAAATGTATCCTAACACTAAACTATGATATTATTTCTTGCTTATCAGTTTTGGTCAAACTCCTTAATTTTGAGTAGCGCTATAGGAAAATAAACATTCCCATACAATGCTGGTGGGAGTGCAAGATACTGGTATGCAAAATACTATGCACAGCAGAGGACTGCAAAATACTATGGAAAATTTGGTAACATCTAAGAAATTTACAAATGCATTTATCCTTTGTCCTGGGAACACCTAGACTGATATGGCTGTATGAAAGGTCTTGGGTAAATTGTGTTCATTTTACTGTCCTTTTTAATGGTAAAAGTTTGGAGATTGCCTGTGTTTAGCAACAGGGGACTAAATGACTAGTACTGAATGTTCTGTGTGTCCACATAATGGAATTCTATTCATAAGAACGAAAAGAGCTCTATCAAGTGACTCGAAGAAAGCTACAGAATACACTGTTTTACGGAAAAGGCCTAAGAAGTACAGGAGTATATACATAGTATTTTATGTGGCAAGTAAGTATTTTCAAAAAACAACTAGGAAACTAATTCCAAGTTTTCTGTGGGATGTGGGAGTTCAGAAGAGAGAGATGGGTAGGAATAAAATTTCTGTGTATTACTTTCTTTTGTATTAAGAGTATTATATCAGGTCATTAAAAACTAACAAAAAAACCTACTCCTCATTCCATAAGAATGGGTTAAGTTCAACAAGCAAAATTTACAAAGACATACAAGCTACTGCTTCATAAATTGTTCATTAAAACAAACGAGCACATTTTTGGCAAAATTAAAAAGAATCTTCAAAAGCACACCAATTATTTTTTTACAATTCTCTATTATTTTAAGGATTAAAGTGCCCCTGACCCATGATGGTATTTTCAATTGCCTCATACGTTATCAGGAGAAAAAAAACCTTAGAATTGGGAAAGTAGAAGGGCAGTGTTAAAAAGAGGAAGATGAGGTGATGGATTGACTTAGACATGGGAACTATGAGAATGAGCTAGGACCAGGTAGGGTTTTCTTCTGTTGTGCATAAGGTTGCATTTGAAATCACCTGATAGCACTAAACAACATAACATATAAACTCACTGAGTTTTTCAGCACATTTTTAATGCTGTTTTATGGTAAAATTGGGTGCCTCGGCTGATATTCGGGTAGCTTATACTCCAGTATATACAGTACATATAAATATGTACATACATATCTACACATATATTTTGTTTTTATGCTGTTTCCAAATTATATAAGCTATAGCAACTACCAGTAAGTCATTTTTTTTCTTGTGTCCATTTTAGTGACATCATTTACTTTCATCAAGCTCTGTACATTTCACTCTCACTTGGGTGTTCTCATAATTTTAAAAGACTTTCTATCAGAAGTAGGCTAACAATAAATTCAGTTTTATAAAATTTGTTAAACAGAAAAATGGGAGAATCTAATATTTTAATTTGGTTACTGTAGTGCAATTAATTACTTAATGTTATTCAGAAACTTCCACTAAACGACCTTTTCCTGATGATGTAGGCAGATATTGATAGGATTTAGTTGTGAGTGAACAGAATTATTTTTTACTGCTACCCACATTAGGTGTAAAATGAGCCATCTCAGAAGCAAGGAATCTCCTTACCATCCAGAGAAGAGCTAGGAGTGGAGTGCATTCTTTTGACCTTGAAATGCCAACACATTGAACCTCCTTGATCCAGGAGATAGTTTTGACACCAGAGAAAAAGCAACAGCAGAAGTCTGACCACCAGTCAGAGCATGAGATAAAGCAGTTAACTTTCTATCCCACAGAGCTCGTATGACTGAGTACTTTTGGTCAGAAAGTTGACGCGTGGAGTACAGTGCCTCTGGGCACTTAACTGGAGTGGGAGGAAGGAGCTGATTACCTTCACCTTGAGTCTTATAGCAATGTGGCATGCCCTTTGAGTTATTTAGTGGCAGCCCTTAAAAAACTCTGACATATCTGAGCAGGGCAGAGACCAGGCTAAAGAGGCTGAGGGCCAGAGAGAGGGTTGACTCCGGGCATGGCAGAGAAGAAACTGTACTGGCTTAACAATTGTATCCTGAGTATTTCTCACCTGTTAATTTCCATAATAAACTCCCCAGCTGTAAGCATTATCTGTGAGTTCTGCATGGCCATTGCAATGAATTATAGAACCTAACAGAAAAGAAGGGTGCAGGGAAAGTAGAGTGCCACTATTAAAACAGATTTAAGAAGGATGGAGGTGGGGGAGAGCATGTCTGACCTCTGCCTTATGGCAATCACCCTTGGGAGACAGATGTTAGCTACAGCCTCCCTACACCATGTCCTCACTTACTGTGAAAATATTCCTTTTAAAATGCTCAACAGTATGTCTCAAAATGAACTTTCATTTTTCAAGTGAATGATTTCTGTTCAAATGCCATTCTATATTTCCTAAGTTTTTCAACATACAAAAATAATGGCAAATAACTACCCTATTAAAGGAGAAATAAATTTAGGTTCCTTATTTTAGGTTCAATTTAACACATCTTGAAAATGGCATGTGGCACCATACCAATTATCTGTTTTTATTATGCTCCATTACTTTGAGGACTAAGGTACACTCAACCCAAGCCAGAGTACTTTTAATCACATGCTTGTAAAAGGAAGAGTGAAGAATTAATGCATTTGTATTATGGTGCTGGTGAAGAATGTTGAAAGTACCGTGGATGACAAAAGGACATACAAATCTGTCTTGGAAGAAGTACAGCCAGAATGCTCCTTAGAAGCACAGGTGGCAAGACTTCATGTGCTTCTAATTGTGTAGCTGAAACCAGTTAATTACTCTCTATGAACCATAACTGCTTTGCTTATAAAAGATGATAACCTACTACATATTGACCAACAGGATTGTGGTAAAAACCAAATTCCTAGGAGGAACTATAAAAACAAATGGTGATCATTTGTATTAACTGTTCCACAGTTAAAATTATCCCACAAAGAGTTGTTTTTTTTAAGATACACACTAATTTACAGAAGTCTACATTAATGCATTTTTACATTATTAAGAATCAGGCCTGTGCAAAGAATACCTCTACAAGATCCTTTCTTGGTCTCAACTTTAAAAGAGGTTCACTGAGTCGGATGGAACATATTCCACCACTCCCTTCATAGCTGCATATCCCAGCACACCTGCAAAACACCAACCACCACAGTCATGTGTCACATTTTTCAGTCATACACCAAGGTGAATATTAATCAATCAGCAAACTCCTACATACTCTGGTACAGTTCATACTTAAAGAACACTATTGACAGATGGCTTTCTTGAAAGTATACCTTCTTAGTTATGAAATATTTGTCTTTCATCCCATCTAGGAAGACATGTGCGCAGAAATAGCTTCCCTTACCCAGGTCAGGATCCAATAGCTCAAAGGTAACCTTGTCCCAGTTTCCTCTCTATAGGCTATAAGGGAGGTTAATAGCTAACATGTTCTAATAGCACATCCTCAAAATTGTAAGCTTATAATAAAGGAGAATTACATTTTAAGACACTTTTATAACTTAACCTGTAGGTTGTTCTATAGTAATTCAAACACATGGATGATGGCATACGACACCCTAAATTGGTGTTCAAGAATAAATTACTATCTCAAATCAAAATTTCTCAGAGCAGAAAGGGATTCTTTTTATAAATATTAAAGATCCCATGGCATTGTGGTGTAAGCCTTGGACTGCTACTGGTTTGAACCCACTCCAACAGAAAAAGAGGTTATCTGCTCCCATAACGATTTATAGCCTCAGAAACGCTACATAGGGCACGATGAGTTGAGAATCAACTTAATGGCGGTGGGATTTGGTTTTCATAAATTATATTTGAGATTTAGGGTTTCTTTAGTCTCTATTAGGTCCCCTAATGAAAAATTTCCTTTCCATTCTGTATACTTAATCAGAACCTGCATTTAACAGGATAAATTTAACATGCTTCATCATCTCCAAGAATCACCTAGTGATCTGCTTAAAATGTATATTGTAACTCACTATCTCTGGCGTGGGAATGCAAATTCTCAATAGGAAAGTCGAACAGGGGAAAACCTTTGAATCTGGATTTCAACACACTATGGCCCACTTTGATCAGTACAGAGAAGACAACACATCCTTCGGAGATTTATCGACATTTTCCTCTGGTGCTTCTGCTCCTGGGGCTCAGAGCACCACACAGAAAATGCACCAAACCCGGTTGCCTGTCGAGTGGATTTACTCATTAAGACCCTAAAGTACAGAACTCTCCTCACAGATTTCCTATGCTTTAAGCTTTACCTGAGTCGGCTGCTTTAACTACAGTGCCACCAAGGTTCCTTTATATTGTTAGTCAAAATTTCCCGATTCACCAAAGACCTAACTTGTGGCCAGGAAACAAGAAAGGCGCGGTCTATAAAAAATCAGAAATGTGTCCATTTCTTCCCAAGCAAGGTGAGAGTAAACTTTTTTTCCTCCCACTGCGGCCCTGCTCCTCAGGGAGGCCGTGCCATGGGAGACACAAAGCATTCCCAGGAGCTGAGCTGGCCGGAGAGGCGGCGGCTCAAAGGGGGGGGATTCACCTGGTCATGCGCATGCTCCACTTCACCTCCACCGCCTCCAGTTGGCCCCAAAAGAACTGGTCGTTGAACTGAACAAACAGGGCCCTCACGTCCGGGGTGGGGTCCACAAGTTCCCAGGACGGGTCCACCAGCGACAAGGGTTCCTGGGCGGCGTCGTGCCGCACAACTTGCAAGTCCCATTCCTCCTGCAGCTGCAGGGCTAGAACCATGTCTCCGTCCATGGCTCGGGGCGCCGAGGCTTCCGGCTCTCCTCTGGCTCCTCTTGGGCAACTCCACTGGATACTGGTCGCTCTCGCGAGAACTAGGAAAACGGGTTTCCGGCTGAGCACGGGAGTTCACTGCCCCAAAGGCCGAAACCAAGATCCGGGTGCCAACCAGAAGCCGACGCTGCCTCGTTGCCGCAGCACTAAGTTCCCCCGGTTTGTCTCGGGAGTCTCGAGGACTTGATACTGCCCTAAACTTAGTCAGCAACTTCAAACACCACACAGCACTCTTCACTCAAGCAACCCCGCAACCCTGCCTCCGCCCTCTCTCACTTCCGCGAGCGCGCTCGCGGCGCACGGGATTTAAGCAGACGGCACTTCCGCGCATGCGTATTGCCTTACAAGGCTCCCCGAGCAGGCGCAGTGTCCGATTCTCAGGCCTCGGCGCAAGCGCACTCACCTCATTGCCTCTAGCTTCCTGGTTCGGGCGCCGTGGAGGCGGGGTGGGTCTCGATAGCCGCGGCAGTAGTCTCAGTGACTGCCCTCGAGCCAGAAGGCAATGGCGGTGTTGGACAGCGGGGCGAGCCGTCTGAGGCGGCAGCTGGAGTCGGGCGGCTTCGAGGCCCGTCTGTACGTGAAGCAGCTCTCTCAACAGTCAGACGGGGATCGAGACCTGCAGGAGCACCGGCAGCACATCCAGGCGTTAGCGGAGGAGACGGCGCAGAACCTGAAACGCAATGTGTACCAGAACTACCGGCAGTTTATCGAGACGGCCCGAGAGATCTCCTACTTGGAGAGCGAAATGTATCAGCTCAGCCATCTTCTCACGGAGCAGAAGAGCAGCCTGGAGAGCATCCCGCTCACGCTCCTTCCCGCCGCTGCGGCCGCCGGAGCCGCCGCGGCCTCTGCGGGGGAGGAGAGTGGAGCTGGGTCAGGGGGCCGAGACCACTTCCGAGGCCCAACAGGCTTTTTCTCCTCCCCCGGGGCCGTCTCCCGGGACAGTTCCGGTCCGGCCGAGGAAGGAAAGCAACGCACCCTCACCACCCTGCTTGAGAAGGTGGAAGGCTGCAGGCACCTGCTAGAGACACCTGGACAGTACCTGGTGTATAATGGGGACCTAGTGGAGTACGAGGCAGACCACATGGCCCAGCTGCAGCGGGTGCATGGCTTTCTCATGAACGACTGTTTACTGGTGGCCACCTGGCTGCCACAGCGGCGGGGGATGTACCGATACAATGCCCTCTACCCCCTAGATGGATTAGCAGTGGTAAATGTCAAGGACAACCCACCCATGAAGGACATGTTCAAGCTACTCATGTTCCCCGAGAGCCGTATTTTTCAGGCAGAAAATGCTAAAATCAAACGCGAGTGGCTAGAAGTCCTAGAAGAAACCAAGAGGGCCCTAAGTGAGAAAAGACGAAGGCAGCAAGAGGAGGAGGCAGCTCCCCGGGGACCACCTCAAGTGACTTCCAAGACCACTAATCCATTCGAGGATGAAGAAGAAGAGGAACCAGCTGCCCCTGAGGTAGAGGAAGAGAAGGTGGACCTCTCCATGGAATGGATCCAGGAATTGCCTGAAGACCTAGACGTTTGTATTGCCCAGAGGGACTTTGAAGGCGCAGTAGACCTCCTGGATAAGTTGAACCATTACCTGGACAATAAGCCCAGCCCTCCTCCCGTGAAAGAACTGAGGGCCAAAGTCGATGAGCGCGTCCGCCAGCTCACCGAGGTCTTGGTTTTTGAGCTCTCCCCAGATCGTTCTCTGAGAGGGGGTCCCAAGGCTACCCGAAGGGCAGTTTCACAGTTAATCCGCCTGGGCCAGTGCACCAAGGCTTGTGAGCTGTTTTTGAGAAACAGGGCAGCCGCCGTACACACTGCGATACGACAACTTCGGATTGAGGGTGCCACCTTACTCTACATTCATAAGTTGTGTCATGTCTTCTTTACCAGCCTTCTGGAGACGGCCAGGGAATTTGAGACTGATTTTGCCAGTACTGACAGTGGCTGCTATTCAGCCTTTGTTGTCTGGGCCCGGTCAGCCATGGGCATGTTTGTGGATGCTTTTAGCAAGCAGGTGTTTGATAGCAAAGAGAGCCTTTCAACAGCAGCAGAGTGTGTAAAGGTGGCCAAGGAGCATTGCCAGCAGCTGGGCGACATTGGCCTAGACCTCACCTTCATTATCAATGCTCTCCTGGTGAAAGACATCCAGGGAGCCCTGCACAGTTACAAAGAAATCATCATTGAAGCCACTAAGCACCGAAACTCCGAGGAAATGTGGAGGAGGATGAACTTGATGACCCCAGAGGCCCTGGGAAAGCTCAAAGAAGAGATGAAGAGTTGTGGGGTGAGTGATTTTGAGCAGTACACAGGGGATGACTGCTGGGTTAACCTGAGCTACACAGTGGTGGCTTTCACCAAACAGACTATGAGCTTCTTGGAAGAAGCTCTGAAGCTGTATTTCCCAGAGCTGCACATGGTACTTCTGGAGAGCTTAGTAGAGATCATTTTGGTGGCTGTTCAGCATGTGGATTACAGTCTTAGGTGTGAACAAGATCGAGAGAAGAAGGCCTTCATTAGAAAAAACGCCTCATTTCTGTATGAAACTGTCCTCCCTGTTGTGGAAAAAAGGTTTGAAGAAGGTGTGGGGAAGCCTGCCAAGCAACTCCAAGACCTGAGAAATGCTTCCAGACTCATACGTGTGAATCCGGAAAGTACAACCTCAGTGGTCTGAAGCCTGGGTTCATTATTCATATCTATTGTTTATCTATTATTTATATTGTTAACTTAGTATATTCTTTTGATGTTTGAACGGTTTGAAATGAAATGATACCCTCTAACGTAGAAATGTAAAATCAAAAGAGGAAAGAAAAGCTATTCAATTAAGCAAAAGTAACAGTGGAAATATTAAAATATATACTTTTAAATTATGTGAATTCTCTAAGGGGGGATATATGCTTACATTATAGTATTTCAGCTTATCCTTTGAGTTAAGATAGATGTTCTCAAGGTATATGTTATGTGGTACAGAGAAATAATGTCGTTACATTGAGCTTAAGTATGTTTTGGAAAATGCCCTGGTTGCTGAAATGCTAAGATTTCTTGAAGTATATAATGGGTACCATGCCAGAGAAACACTCTGCCCGTATACTTCATATTGAAATGTCAGGGGAAATTTGGGGGGAGTGTGCTGAAAAATTTTAGGGCATATAACAGCCCAAGAACTCACTATTTAAACTAGTGTATGGGCTCAGAAATGCCCTCAACTCTTCATAGAATACAGGAGGAAGCTTTCATAAAAACTGTTGCAAACTTTTTCAACATAATTTGAATGGTTCATTCCTTTCAGCTTTGAGGTAGTAGGTTTATAATCTTAAGGACATGATAAAGTATTTTTTAAAGGTATTCCTGAATTGTGTATATTTCCACCTGGAATACTTGTTTTTGTCATATTAAAGATAATTTAAAAACAGGACATTGAGAAATTTGGCAGCAGTCTGATTTTTAGCTGCTTTTGTTTCAGTGTGGGTTATGTAGTAGTTCAGACTTTGAAACTGGGGAGAAATTTTTCAGTGATGTGTTTATTTAGAAATCAGAGTGTGGGTTCATGGTAAATTGGGGTGTGTGATCATATGTAAATGACGTGTTCTCAAGGTGACTATTTTGAGCAGAGATTGTTTTGTGTGTGTCTGTTCTTGGTAACAGTGGAGGACAGAGGAGAGCCAATGTTCCTAAAACAATGGAGGAGGCCTTTTATGACTTCTATAAGAATGCTCAGTGCTGCATTTCAATTTTTTTTTTTACTTTTTTTTTTGCTTTCAAAAGCAAAAATAAGGAAATTTGAGCTTTCCAAGGTTCCTACACTTTTGCTTCTGTGTATATTATTTAATATTTCTTAAACTTTGCAATTGTGCTTGCTAAGATCCTTAAGTGCCATTTTTAAATGCCATTAATTTTTAAAAGATCATATCTGTTACCTGAATAAAAATAGTGATATTGAGAGTGTGGGTTTTATGTAAAACTTAACACAGGTCCCAAATAGTGGGTTATGGTTGTAAAATTTCAAATTACTCTTATTCCACACAAGCTTTTTAATCTTATTTTCAGCTCTGCGTATTTAAAAGTTGAAAATGATAAAAATCACATTTTTTCTTTGACTACTCTTTTCACGTCACTTTAGAATTTTCTAAATAGGGCTAACTAGATATTTCAGTTGAACAGACTGGTATCTTTTTTTTTTTTTTTTAAATCATGGAGAAGTTGAATTTGATAAAATTTTGAGATTATTTTGTGCTATTTCAGGCTTTTAAAATTGTATGAGGCATGTATAAATATTTGATGCTGAGTTCATAAAATGATACTTTTAAATAAAAATGACAAAGCGTGAAGTTGTAAAAACTGTATATATGCTCAGATATTTAAATGATTACTTCGTCATAGCACTCTGCATTTTTAAAATTGGAAGCACTGGATTTTCTTCTGTTAATTTTGTGTATTCCTTAATCATAGTTGTTTGCTTTAGTGAATCAATTTGTATAGAAATTTATTAAAGACCACCAGTGTTATAATACACCGTAATATGCATGTTTTGTGCTGAGACAGAACCACTGTGTTGCCTTCCTCAAAGGGAGTCATAACTCATCTCACTGATTCTGTTGTTTCATTTGATTGCAAAATAATTTCTAAGATCTGAATGCAAATTTGTGAACATGTTAAAATGTACCACATATGTTTTCTTGTTTGCTTCAAGCCTAACACAGATCCTTCAACTTGGAATCACAGACTTGGTTGAATTAATTACTGCTGGAAAAGATATCCTGGAATTAAGTCTCTTTTTGATTAAAAGCTCATTCCGTGTATAGTCTGAAAATGCATTTCCTTTTTTAAAAATACTACCTACAATTTAATGATCAGTACTTGTATTTTATATCTAGAATTGGGAATTTGAGACTTAATATGTAGTATAAAATTAGTATGTGTTAATTTTGCTTACTGATATGATGCTATAAGGTAATCTTGAGATGTTTTTTTAAATAAAGCTTAAAATTTTTCTTACACTGGATAAAATTGATACTGCAATCTATTTCTCTTTAATTGTGATTTAATATTCTTCTGTTCCTCTTAAAAATATATTCTTTGAATAGCCTTGTGTTTGTTGTGGGAATGATACAAGGGAAGCTGTTAGCTAATTTAAGGTAGCGTTATGCTTACTGAAAGAATTATGAATAAATGAATTCTCAATATTTTAGTACTCTTTTGAATGGAAAACTTTAAATGTATACAATGTGAATTTACATTAACCTGGATTTTATACTGAGATATATAGTCAATTAATATAACTCTTATAGCCATGGCTATGATCCCAATTTGGAGGGAATTCTGTGTTACGGGATTAAGGTGGGGCTTAGTTCTGACTTTAGTAAAGCAGGTGAACCAAACCATACCCTTTGTTTCCTTGGACATATCTTTTTAATTAATTTATTTATTTATTTTAAATCATTTTATTGGGGACTCTTACAACTCTTATCACAATCCATACATCCATGCACATTTGTACATTTGTTGCCATCATCATTTTCAAAACATTTGCTTTCTACTTGAGCCCTTGGTACCAGCTCATTTTTTCCCCTTCCCTCATGAACCCTTGATAATTTATAAATTATTTTTTCATGTCTTACACTAACCAATGGCTCCTTTCACCCACTTTTCTGTTGTCCTTGGACATATTCTGTCAACTGTCCTAGAGGGTGTGATTTAAGACACCATCCTTCATTTTCCTTGGGGGTATGATCTGCTAAAAGATAACCACAGCTCCATTGCCTTTAGTTAAGTGCAATTGATGTCAGGAGTGGGATTCCTTGCAATAGCCCCAAGCTGTTGGGAATTTGTAAGAGAAAGATGCAAAGGAGCACAGGAAATTTCTTGTATGGTTTTCTTTGGTTATTCTTACCTGGAAAAGTAAAGTAAAGGACCTGAAATTGCAACTGGTTGCCCAGAGGCAAAGTCTAGGCTGTTTAGACAAAAATAGCTGGTAGAAAGCCAGGGCCTGTTGGAGACACTGAGCCACAGGCCAAAGGCCATATGCAGATAAATAGGATAGTGTGTAAAGAAGAGAGGATTCAACTTA